AAAATTTATTTCATGACCTATAGATAAAGATAAACATATAAAAACTGAAAATTAATTTTATAGTCTACAAATAAAGATAAAAATTAAAAAATTAATTTCATAACTTATGGATAATTTAAAATTTCTTCCCATAAATAAACATATAAAAGTTGATAAATAACTTATAAAAATTAATTACATGGCCTACAAATAAAAATAAAGATTAAATAATTGATTTTAATTTCATGATAGATGAACATATAAAAATTCATAAATAATTTATGAAAATTTATTTCATGACCTATAGATAAAGATAAAAATTTTAAAAAATTAATTTCATGACTCATAGATAAATAAACATATAAAAATTGATAAATAATTTATAATGATTAATTTTGTGGCCCACAGATAAAGATAAAGATTAAATAATTGATTTACAAAAAATTAAAATAATAAAATTTAGATAAAGATATGATTTGTTAATCTATATATCTATTCAAAAATATATATATCTAAATCTTTATTTTGATTTACTCATATTTTTTTCTCCTTCTATCACATATTATCTTTTTTTATTTTTTATTTTTTTATCTTATGAAATGCCCTTATCTATAACATCTTATCTCCTATTAAATTCTTAACCATCTCTTGATAATTTTTATTATTCATTATTATCTACCAAGTGATAAAGATTATAAAAAAAAAAAATTATCTGTAATGCTCCCAAAATATAACCATAGGTTCAACCAAAATATAATAAATAGTTGTAACACCCCAAAAATTTATGCAAAAGATAGAACAATAACCATGGCTCCTTATGAAATACCGGAATAATTCCCCAACACTTTTCATTACATGATCACAGTATTTATACAAAATAATTCCACATGCAGTTATATATTCAATGGTTCCTAGTACATGAATCTAGTTCCTAGTACATGAATCTATAACATGTAGAACGTTTAATCCAAAAGTAAATAAATAGCCTCAAGGGCTTACAAATTACGAGGCTTAAGCACGATTACATAAAAGTGGTTTCCCGTACCCATACAGTTATAGCCCTTGACTAGCAAAATGTACCACAACAAAACAAGAGCCTCATGCTCTCAACATATACATCCGCGCCCTAATTTGGCAGAATCACCACATCTTTTCCTACACCAAAATCTCATAGGATGAGTATAAAGCCCAGTAGAAAATTCTTAACAAAGTATATATATTTTATACAAGTCTCAAGGAATAAAATGCACATACCATGCTATGCCCTTTTGAAAGAAAATCACATTCATCATCTTTTGAAAACCATCATGCTTAATGTTATCTTGAAATTTTCAACAATTCTAAATTTATCAGTTTAATTCAAGGGGCGGTAAATATGACTCAGGTAATCCCTAAGTTGGTGTCTGCAAGTAGGCATAACTAGTACTACCAAAATCCCACTTTACTAGTTGCTAACCAAAAGGGAAGTGGTACCTCCTCCACGTGTGTTTTCGATCTTTCACCCCGGACACTTAGGCCAACTTACTCAATTTCATCTACACCTCCTATCCGGGCTTACCAACATATTTACCGCAAAACAATTCCATAAAAAAAAAATTCAATCACAAACCTTCCTTTCTCAAAGCAAAAGTTTCCAAACTCAATTTAAAATTTGAAACAACAAATTGAATGGATATGTAAATGCCACAATTATCGAAGCCACATAACATTCCTCCATTTTCAATTATCTCATACAATAATTCCATCATAACCAAAATTTCCATTTCTCCGTTCATTAACATTTCACAAAATAGCAACATATTCATTTAAACCATCAATGAGTAACAACATTCCCATACTTTGTGCATTCCCCACAATTTAGTCATCACAAGACTACATCAACATTTAAACAACTTCCAAGATCAAAAATATTTTCTTTTTTCAAGAAGTTCGTTTATCTATATAAGAAAATAAGGATTTTTCCAATCATTCATTCATTTTGGCACAAAAGAAATATGATAATAACAACGTCAATCATGGTTCTTCAACATCTTTTAAAACCTCCGAAGTTCTAGGTTTTCTCACCACAACCATACACACCCAAATCATTTGAAAGAATTTCTTCAAAAACATCTTTCCTCAATCCATGTAGTTCAAAACCCTTAAGAAATTATTTCAAAAGAAGCAAGGGGCAAATCCCCTCTCAAACCACCCACATTCTTGAACTAATTATCAAGTTTCAATATGAACAAGGGAAATTTCGAAAATCCACAAAATCTTACAAAAATATATATATAACTCTAAGAAAAATCCCTACCTCAAGTTTGAAGAAGAATGAGATGAAACCCTCAAATTCAATGGTGTTGAAACTTGATCTCCACCGCACAAAACGTAGCCCTCGAGATGTTATCCAACTTTGGTGAAGGAACAAGGATCAAAATCCCAATGGATTGTAAGAGATCAAGAGTTTTTAGTGTTTGGTGGAGGTTTTTAGAGAGAGTGGAGAGGAAATGATATTTTTAGAAAGAGAGAGAGATATGTAAAAAGTGAGCTTCACTCAGCCCAACAAGAGAAAAAGATAGAATTTTTTGGACCCAGCAGAGTCCCGTACGTGCAGCACCCATTCTCGCATGTGCGGAGCGTACTTCCCGCACGTGCGGCAGTCACCCCCGCACGTGCGGCACTTTCCCGCACCTCCACTCCACACCTGTATATAATGCGGTAGCCAATACTTAGAAACCCTTCTGACTGTACGTGTGGCCTCCCCTTCCGCACGTGCGACCTCTCTTCCGCACGTGCGGCTCTCACCTTCGCACGGGCAGCCCTACTTCCAGACAGAAAAATTTAGCAACTCTACTCTAGCCACCTCGAATCCAACCTCACACCTTCTGAAACAAGTGAATACTCGGGGATTGAAATAAATACGAACGATAGATTTTTGAGAGGAAGTTTTCAACACAACAAACTTCATAGTTAACAAGACCTCGTATTACAACTCGACACTCTAACTAAGGCAAACCCAACGTAAATCAAGGAGGAACAAGACGGATTACGTACTCGGTCGTCACAACAATTACATAAATCAGAGTGTAACGTTCTTTCATTTCACAGAGTTAATAGTGCAAACACTACTAAAAATCGGAGCTTTTGCGACGGTCATAAACGTAGCAAAAGGTTCACATATTGTCGCAAAAGACTTGTTGCGACGGAGTAGCGACGAGAAATGGGGGGTGACGAAAGGGGGCGTGACAAAAAGTATTTACGACAGTTACAAACCGTCGCTTTCTTATAGTGACGGCTAATCAATGGTTTTTGCAACGGTTTAACCTAATACAAAAAAAGGGAAAAAAACTTCATTCTTAGTGACAAAGTTGATTTCCGTTGCAAAAAGTATTATTAGCGATGGTCTAAAACGTCACCAAAAAAGTAAATTAAATTAATACCATATTTGCGACGGTTTAAACTGTTGCAAATAAATCTTTTGCGACAGTTTAAACTGTTGCAAATAAATCTTTTGCGACAGTTTAAACCGTCGCAAAAGATTGGAACTAATATGTATATGCGATAGGTTAACCCGTCGCTAATAAAATATAAGGAAATGATGATTACATTAGCGACGGTTTATTATTGTCGCAATAAAATTATTTTCATAAAATCATATTTTATTAATTCATTCCTTGTACAAATTATTAATATTTTCTAAAATACATCCACATCTACATCTACATCTCAATCCACATCCGCATCCAAATTCACATTCACATTCACAAAATCATATACCAAGAATAATATATATATATATATGTATCCTGTAACAATTGTCACCTAAATATTCTTTACAAAAATATATAAAACAACCTCCAACAATACTAATAATTTTTTTTATTCAAGAACTCAAATTTTTAGTATCGACAATAAAAAAAAAAAAAAAAAAACACACACACACACATATTGTAGCTTGTTTTGATATCAATAGTAAGCTCCAATATCGATATGCGAATATATCATCACGTACTCAAAAGGGTTGCATCTGTAGAAAGAAACAAAAACAAAAAAAAAATCGTCATTTACAACATAATTAATTTCAAACTTACAGAAAATGTACAACATTTAATATTTATTTCTACAAATAAATAAGATTGTAAACTCCAATATCGATATGCGAAAATATCATCACGTACTCAAAAGGGTTGCATCTGTAGAAAGAAACGGAAAAAAAAAATCATTTACAATATAATTAATTTAAGCTTACAGAAAATGTAAAACATTTGATATTTATTTCTACAAATAAATAAATAAATAAGATTGTAAGTTCCAATATGGATATACGAAGATATTATCACGTACTCAAAAGGGTTGCATCTGCAAAAAAAAAAAAAAATCATAGTATATCAAAAATATTAAGAATAGGCAAAGTCACATGCTTCTTCTTAGACTTAGCTAGATTCTTGTGGATAGGCCAAATATATGCACCTTCTACCCTAATTTGAGCACCACCAACTTCATGTTTGTTGTCAAAACACATCATGAAAATAAATCACCCCCAGTCGTGCACAGTAAGGAAATGAAACAATAATGTACCATAACAACAATGACTGAGCCATGGAAGATCATGTCTCAGTAGGAAAGAAAGGCAAAGGAATGTGCAAAAACAGGCTATTGACTTCTCCTAAAATACTTCCTTGGATAGATGCTTGGAATAGTAACAAATTCACTCATGTTGAACAGTGGAACTAGCCCCATTCAATCAAGTTTTATGACTAGAAAGTGCTAGCAAGGCTAGCCTAACTCGTGAAATCTCTTTGTAACCATAGCAAAGATCTAAGATTCAATCTGCCTTCAACCAGGTTAAAAAGGTTTTTGGTAGGCAATGGGCAACTCACAGAAATCTAAAATGATTGGTTGCACAATGCATCCTCCCAAATAAAAAACACACACATTGTTTAGATCTACATGCATATTAAGGATGGCATGGCACTACAATGATTTAATCTAATAGTATGGTATAATTCATTATGCCGGTCATCAATTTTTCAATGCAATTCGTTGCATAGACAAAAGTTGCACAATGGAAGACGGCCCTTTGAAGTGAATTTCAGTCTGCTATTCAATGTAGTTTGCCAAATTATATGTTAAATCTTTACAACTTCATTTTTAGAAAAGTGCTAGAAACATTCATTTAAGTTGATTCAAAAAAGGCAAAGTTTCAAGAATTCAGTCGTTGCATTTATTGAATAATGAAAAATTAACATATATGGTATCAGAAAACTCAAATTGGTACGATAAAGTGCATATAATGATAGTAACCGAGGACGATGCACTATCTTTCCGCCGTTGATTCACTACCTAGCAACCTGATAACTAGAAAAAACTGAAAACAAAACAAGCCCTGTTTAACCAATTAAGTTTTCCAAAATCATAAAAAACCATTTTTGATCCCCCCCAAAAAATATTAATAATCATTTAATACATGAGGGGAAAAAAGAAAAGTAAAGAGCAATAGAGAGAGCACATCCCAATAAGATGTAGTAAGATTAAGATATTTTCTTCACTCAAAGTATTATTCATGTAAAAAATATTATTACAAAAATAATAATTAAGAAAAAGGCTTACATGGCCATAAACAACCAGTGGAATGACTCACCTGAACATAATGTACACCATTTATTTTTGTTGGTGTAGTAACTAACTCAAAGATGGAATTTCCATTGGATTTCTTGAAATCTGGAAACCTAGAGGAGCTATTTGTGGAATCTATGAACCTCCAAGGCCTTGCATCTCACATGGCCAGACAAGTATATAATAAGATCCAACAAAATAAGTACCAAGCAAATAGGGTTTATAAAGTACCAAACAAAGAGCATGTATTATAAAAGAAACTATAATTTTAATCTTTTAATATATACAACCACCAATATAACCCAAAATGATGGCATGTACGTTCTTAATGAGAACCAGGTCAAAAATTGCCTCACCATGTTAGACAACCACACGCCTCATCATGTACATTCTTAATGAGCTTTAATACCATATTCAAGGAATTGACATAACAAATTACAAATAGAGAGAGAGTATTTATTAGTTTCTTATGAGCCAAATTACACACTAAGATTTCCCCTCCTCCCCCTCCCCCCACCTCCCTCTTTCAGAGCTATGTTTAAGATGGAAATACAACTGACAATTTCCAAATTGAGAGAATTTCTGAACTAGATTGTCAAGAATATGAAAATAACAAAAAGTTGGAAACAAAGAACACTAGCTATTCACCTAAGCTTGAATTACGGCTGCTTTTTGGTTTTGCGAAAGTCACATCCGTGAAAAATAGTTTTAGCTGCAAAAGAAATAATAAAAATTACTGATTCCATGAACTACAAATGACCTAAACACAATGCAAGCAATCATTTAATAAATTATCAACAAATAACCCTGAAAGCTAAATTTATTTCCAGCAGTTCCATAGTGTTTAGTACGATCATTTGTAATATCGCCCTATACTTTAATAAAAACTATAATTCTACAAGCTATACTATTTGACTTAAGATGTGCTTAAAGGAATGAGTCTTCCATCCTTTGTCTGTTTTATGGCGTTTCATTACTAATTTGGTCAATTTACAGTTGCTCAATATATATTCTTTCTTTTTTAGATTCTAAAAAATCCAACCCAACCTCTTGAAATACTACTGGTAAATCTAAATTATCTGATCAAGTGAGAAAAATACTGCTTGTAATTTTTTAAAAATTGTATAACAGAACCTAGATTGTCCTTAAGCAAATGACCAAGGATGAAAGTGATGGGCATGGTTAAGTTCCTACCTATAATTCTGACATGGTTACTAACTCTGCTTTATGGAGAGAGTGATGGCTTAAAGTTGTGGGTCAATGCTCTTTCTTTTGAGCCTTTTGAAGTTTGCAGTATACAAGCCCTTTTTAAGGCATCTTTGAAATCCCCAGAATTATAAGCCTCAATTTTTATAATATAGCTCCAAATTCCAATTCAAAAGGAGGAATCACAGGAAGGAGCAAATCCCATGGTGATTCTATGCTTCCAAGCAGTAGTAGTCCAGTTTCCAACAGTTAAGCATGCATTACACAATATTTCCACACACCACATTCAATTATTCAATTAAAGAGATCCTTAATTTTTACCCAAAAATAAAAGAAAAGAAAATGTTTCAACCACCAACACTGGTAGAGGAGAGCTGAGGAGAAACTAATTTGAATTAGCAGAAGGAGTTGACTTTTGAGAAACTAATCAGATCACGGGTTAGTCAAAACAAATACCTAAAAATATACAGAGATAATCAAGAGAAGGAACCAAAAAAATTGCAGAATTGAACAATTCCAATAGATTAAATGATGAAATCGAAAGTTCATGTAATCATAAATACCAAAGAAATCAATCAATTTGAAAGGTAAGAATCGACTTATATGTATATCTCAAAAGGAAAAAAGAAAAAATTGGGGAAAACATACCTGAAGCAGTCGCCAAGGTTTACCTTGAAGTTGCAAAACCCTAGAGAGAGATGAATAATTTAAGCAGTAACAGAGGGAAGAGAAACCCTAGAGAGAGAAAGAGAATAGAGACAGAGAGAGACGTAGAAGGAGAGAGAGAGAGAGAGAGAGAGAGAGAGAGAGAGAGAGGGAGAGGGAGAGGATTATAGGGACGAGTTTTTGTTACGGATAATAGAGAACTATAAAATATATGTGGGCTGTGTCCGGAGTGGGAAGTCGCCGTCGCTGCTGCTACAAGCAATCTGTGAGGGTAACACGCGCGCGCAAGAGAGAGAGAAAGAGAGATTATTAGGGTTTGTGTGAGCGAGTGTGAGAGGAAAGAAGAAAAGAAGAGAAGAGGGTTACCTGGAACTCTTCCCACGCTAGAGATGTTGGGGCTGCGAGAGAGAGAGACGACTAGGAGAAGATGGATTTTTTTTTTCTTTTTTCTCTTTTGATCTGAAAACTGAAGGTAGGGAAGAGGGCGTAGGGAAGAGCAGGAAAAGAGGAAAGGCAAAAATATAACATTTTGTGACGGAGGAATAAAAGGCGTTGCAAAAAAATTAAAACAATCGCAAAAAGAAAAAACAAAAACGACGGGTAACAAACCGTCACATATAATACTATTTTTTTCCACGGTCTTAGATTTTCCATCGCAAAAAAATTAATTTGACGACGGCTTCGTTTGCCGTGGCAAAAACATTATTTTTGCGACGGTTTTCAAACCGTCGCAAAAGGTTCCGTGTCCAATACTTACTTTTCTAATAGTGAAAAGAGTTTAACATAAATAAATGCTTTATAGGCTTACACCTTTCCAAGCCTTGGCTTGGTTACAACAAAAATGAGACTAGCTCATACAATTTAAGTCCTAGGCTATACAAAAGTGAAACAAAACAAAGAAGCTCTTACTTCCCAAAAGTCCCTTCAATACTATTGCCTTGGTGGAGGCATGCCATCGTTACCTGAAAATGTTTTTCTCAAATAAGGTGAGCCACAACCCAGTAGGAATAATCAAATACAATATATGACATTTAACAAAGGTACAAGTACAATATGCATAAACAATGCATGTAACAAAACATTCACATTTTATATAGTCATAAGGTACAAAATCCAAATCTTAATCCATTTCCATTCAATTCATTTCAATACATGAGCCAATTTCATTATTTCTCAATAACCTAAATGAGACTACAACTCAATGGTTCTACAAGCACATCATTAACACACAACCACCTCAATCTGCCATTTTACGAAAATTTCGTCCGCGGGATCGACACCCATGTATAAATTTCAAGATTTTCACCCAGGATAGTCCGGCCAACTTAATTATAATGGAGTCCACTCCCTTTTTCCTCCCAAACAAACATACATATACAATGTATTTAAACATATAATCATACATGGAGTACATCTCCTTTCTCTTCTCAAACAATCATACATATACAATGTGTTTAAAATATGATCATATTCAATGATAATCAACCATGGATTAGTTTTAATTTACCTAATCCTCATGCAATTTCTACAACAATCAAAGCTATCCTTCACCGATAGCCCAAAACAGTTATTTCTAAACAGATATTCAATCTCAAGACAAATAAATTATTCAAAATTTCTAAAGATGAGACGTATCATCTACTCAATTCTACCATACATTTCAATACTCACCAAATTTCATGTTTACAACACCCATTTCATTCATTTATACAAAATAAATATCACAATCATTTTAGGGAAAACCCCATTTCTTCCCAAGTCTCAACCAAGTCCCAAAATCAACAATTTTGACATCATACAACATCATTTTCAAACCCCGTAATCATTTTCTTCTCATTCACCAAAAACCCCTCTTTCCATTTTACACCCAAACCCTAGGTTTGTTCATATTATCCCCAAATCACACCATTGTTACATAACGACAAATAACTAAGTTAAAAATCATATTAAAGTGTAGAAAATCCCTACCTCAAGAAGAAAAGACCAAGCAAAGCAAAGTAGAATCCTCAACAACACCGAGACCACATTCCAATCGGACCAAAATGAAGCTCTTGGAATGCTCTAACTTTTTCTCAAAGACACTAGAGTAGAGAACCCAAAGGATATAGGCCAAAATGTACAGAGAGAGAGAATATTTTAGAGAGAGAGAGTCAAGATCTAGATTTTTGGAACGTTTTAGAGAGAGAAAAGAATGAAAAAGTGATATAAAATGTCACTTTCGCGATTTGATATACGCACACTCCGCTCGAGCAGAAGAGTTGACACTCGAGCATTAGACACAAAAAGTAGTTTCGCTCGAGCACAATAAGGAATGCTCGAGCACCAAAGCACAATCATCGCTCGAGTGCAAGATATCGCCGCTCGAGCGTAGAAAACACACATCCAGAAGTTTTGCAGACAACAAAGCAACACTCGAGCGCCCACCCGCTCGAGCATAGAAAACACTCTTCCAGTAGTTTTGCAGACTTGCAAAGTACTGAGAGTTCGCAAAGCTCGCTCGAGCGCGAGAAGTGCCGCTCGAGCAGAGGAGCAAAGATTGCAAAACCCGCTCGAGCGGAGGAGCAAAAATTTGGACAACAAAAGTTTAGAAAAACAAGCAACCAAAAATAGAGGGGAGACAAGGGAAACAAGATATGGATCACCATTCAAAATTATACAAACCCGAGTTCGGAATACAACAAGTGACGAGTCTAAACCGGAATAGCTATATTATTGGCTTTGAATGAGAAGAGTAATTATAATGACGTTGGTTGGCTCTGAATGAGAAGAGTATTAATAATGAAATAATGAAGGTTTCATGGGAGAAGGCAACACAAAAATCTCACAAAATTAGTTTTCGTCACTATATTTATACGAGGTAATAATTTGATATTCTTTTTATTTTTTTTTTGTTTTTTTTATAAGGTTGTCATTCGTTATAGTATTTCTTCAATCTCATCTCTAAATGCTCTCTTTGAAATTTTTATTTTTTCAATAATAAAGTTTTGAATCAATTTTTATCAAATTTGTTTTCTTGGTCATTATTTTATTAAAGGATCGAGACGAGTAAAACTTTCATATGATATATGAAATTAATGAATATAATACAAAGATGATAGGGAAGTACTACATATTTATCAATATCTCTATGTTATTATTAGGTGATTTGCTAGATTGTACTATCAATTTAGAGCACATATGATTTGATTCAATGTCCATGACTTTATTTGTATTCGACCATTTTTTTGTTGAGTAATCTATATAATTTTTTTTTTTGAGTATATAATGATTAAAACTATCATTTGTTATATTTCTTCGAGGACAATTCAAATAATTTTTCATCATTTTTTTATAAATAAAATGGATCAAAACTATTTTCTTATATAATTTTTATAATCCTACGTAATTCTTATTTGATTAATTTTTTTAAAATGATATAGGAACTATGCAAGTATTATTCAAACTATGGAGAATGATTTATACTTTGATATGATGTTGTAGCTCGGCTTTTTCGCGCCCCCTTTCGGAAGTTTGAAAGAAGCCCTACAGTTTGGACTCCTGCGGTTCTGAATTTAATCTCACAAGTACAATGTGAAATAGATAAATACCAAAGAGTCTAAATCCGACAAATCATTTGAAAAATTGATTTTGAATCAAAAATGCTAAAATTGGACTGCTTGCCAAATATAGAGTCGCTACCTAAATATTTTATTTTGAAAAAATTTAGGAAACCCATGACTCATTCCAAAAGCCACATGTCTGTCATCACCAAGATTGTCTCGGCTCGGGAACTTAGGTACGAGATGGGAAGGTCATGAATACATTTGAGCACCCCCGTTCACCCCATCAAAGATCGACCTTTACTAATCATGATATGATTTTTATCAACATTATATGCTGTTGTTCCAGTTTATTAGACTGGCATTTACTATGTGATGTGCACACACACAAAGTATAGACTAGTTTGCTCAAATTGGAACAATTCAATTCCATGTTTGTTTTGAAAAATTGTTTGATTTTGCCACTTAACGAAGTGGGCTTAAAGTTTGTGAGTTTGTCACTTGGCAAAGTTGGCTTAAACGTACATTCATCGAATTATTCTAATTCAAGCAACAAACCTTAATCCACAGGCACTCAAACAGTTTAATCAAGTAAGCACTTAGCCTCATGGCAAGCATGCTAGTCATGGCAGTCACTCACACTCATGCAAAATGCTTAAAGCATTAAAAAACTCACCTAGTACTCCAAGCTAAGATAAAACAAAAGAGTTAGAAAAATATGCATGATCCTAACTTTGTACAATATGACTAATGCAACGCATGCAATAATGTAACTAAAGTAGGCTTGGCTACTTAACATGTTATTTGTAACAATTTCATAGCATGAGTTTAAACACGTATTCAACGAAGCATTGAAACGACAATGCAGTTAGAATGATGCGCCGAGTCTCTATAGCGACCCCGGTCTTTTTCCTTTTGGTTGTTGTATCCGGGCTTAGGTTCCTTGGGTTCTCTCAATGTATAATTGTGGTTGTCATCCTTTTTTTTTTCTCTTTTGAGTTATCGGATGTGTTAGGCAGGTTTGTTTTGTTTTGGTTGGGTTTTGAAACCAGGGGTTACTGTCCAGAATTTGGATTGGTCGCTCGAGCGAGAGTTTGGTCGCTCGAGCGAGGGTTGAGTTTTGTGTCTGGTGGCTCGAGCCAGGGTTTCTTCGCTCGAGCGAGTGTTTGCGTCTAGTATAGACCTGTGAGCAGTGTTTCTTCGCTCGAGCGAGAGTTTCTTCGATCGAGCGAGCTTCTGGGTTGCAGACCTGAAGCATCGAGTTTTTGGCTCGAGCGAGCTTTTCTTCGCTCGAGCGAGGCTTTCCTGTGTCTGGTCGCTCGAGCGACCAAGTCTTCGCTCGAGCGAGCCTGTCCAGTTTAAATAGGCAGCAGCGGGTTTTGATCAGTCTTTTCATCCTCTTCTAGTTTCCAAACCCTAGGTACGACTTCTCTCTCTCTAAACTCATCTTCTTTCTAGGTTTTCATCTACTTCTAGTGTGAATCCATCCTAGGTCCTTTGTTAATAAGATAGAGGGCGGCTTGGGCTTCATTCTAATCTGAAAAATAGTGGATTTGGAGCACTTGGATTTTGGGTCATCTTCTCCATTTGTGTTCTTCGTTCGAGGTAGGGATTCTCCTTGTTTCTTTTCAATACTTCGTCTATAGATAGACATGTGGTAGTTTTTGTATTGCATAAAAATTGTATCATGTTGGATTTGTGAAAATCATGGGACTGAACCTTGGGTTGGTTATTGAATTTGGGTTTATTATCATTAGTTATGATTTGGGCTAATTGGGGTGTTAATTAGCATGTGGTTGTTGAAAGGAGAGGAAACCCAAAAAATTTCCTATTTGATTTAATAAATTAATTGAGGGGTTTTGATCTTTGGGCAAATACTTAGGTATTTTGAGTCTTAATTGTGATTGTTGATGTAATAGGC